GATATTTAGACTTGGCATGTATATCAGGAGAATATTGTACTTTAGGTTTCCCACGGGTAGTACGTGGGGGCAAAGAATAAGTAGGCATATCACTAGAAAGTACCTCATTATCACAATTTGATTGAGGCAATGGCAGGGCAGAGGGGGGTATATTATCAATTTCATATGTACGAGAGTCGCCAATATCACTGTTATGTCCTTCTGAGAGAGGCTCGAAAACACCATCATTTTCGTTTGGCGACCGGTCGTGGCTTTCCTCGTGACCGGTCGCGTCACTCGTATCGGTACTGTTATCGCTCGTCGACTTGGGCGACCGGTCGCTTCCTATGTGCGACCGGTCGTTTCCAAGCAGATTCATTAGCGCCCGGTCGCCCACTTCTATACGACCGGTCGTATCCAGACAGATTCGTTCGCGACCGGTCGTTTTCTCACTGCGACCGGTCGCTTCGCTCGTATCGGTACTGTAGTCCCAGCTCGACGCGAGCGACCGGTCGTGTCCTATGAGCGACCGGTCGTTTTCATCCTGTTCGCCAAAAAAATCCATATTTTCCACTCCGAAACTCTTCAATTCACTCCCCCTCTCCTCCTGAATTGAAGAGGATGGAGAAACATAATAGGGTACTTCTTCAAGAAATGTGACATCCAAAGTGACATGTACCTTCTGAGTAGGCGGGTGATAACACTTATAACCTTTCTGAGTCGTAGAATAACCAATGAAGACACAACGGAGAGCACAAGGATCAAGTTTACTCCTTTGATGAGAGTACACATGAACATACGCAACACACCCAAACACCTTCGGAGGTAACTTAGAGACCGAAACCGGAGGAATAAGAGCACATAACACATCAAGTGGAGTCTTGAAATCAAGAACCCGACTAGGAGTACGGTTAATCAAGTAGGCCGCGGCCAAGACACCATGTCCCCAAAGATGATGGGGAACAGACATATCCAACATAAGAGAGCGGGCAACTTCAAGTAACTGACGATTCTTCCTTTCAGACACGCCATTCTGTTGAGGAGTGAATGGAGTGGTAGTTTGGTGAATGATACCGTGATCACGAAAGAACTGATTCAATGTATGATTCACAT